TTATGTCTGTAGTATGACTAATTCTGAATAATTTCGAATTTCTTTGAGACATTTTATTTACAGAAGGTAAAACAAAGCAAACAAAGCGATGTTCGTATGTCACAATCAGGACTAGTACTAATGGCATTGAGGCGCGCAGAATTCGAACACACTGCACACACTGGCATTGAATGACTATCCTTGAAGCCAAACTGTACTCAAAGAATTTTTTTCGAGTGCAAAACCAAAGAATAAAGATGAAACAATTAGGTTTACCGATAAAGTATGCTCGATTTCAACACATTTTCAAATTTTACAAAGTTTGCGCGCTTGTCATTTTTGTCTTATGGAAAAGCAGAAAGATATTATTGGCGATTTGTGTTGACTAATGTTAGTAGTTTATAGAAAAGTTAAAGTCATGTGCCAATCAGGTGCTACGAGTTTGAAATAAGCTTTTAAAATTGATATATTTTGAGACGATATCCGTTATCCGTTCAGGAAAGTCAATAACTGCGCTATTTTCTATTCAGTATACCAAAGAATAATTATCTAAGTCATATCACCAACGAAAATAGTAATACTCTGAACAAAAATTTTGAACTTTAGGCATGAGTTTGATTTAAAAATAGCGCTGAAAATATGTCGATATTTTACCTTCATTCGGAGTTCAAGTTGGTCACCAGTCGATCGAACATCAATCGCCCCCCCCCCCCAAAAAAAAAAAAAAATTTAAATGAAATTTGAGTAAAATGAAATCGATTTTAGTTGTTCCCAAGGATAGATCTTTACAATACTAGAGTATGAGAGAAATTTATTTTTGAGCCCCATATTGATCTGGAGGTTTTTACGGAGACAGCCTCTTAAGGCGTGCTCTACAACACACCTGATTGATTAACCTTTGAAATCAATAAAGAGATTTTTAAGTCAAAATAATTTCTTATCCCTCTATATATAAGGTTATATACAGTATTATAACAGGAAATACGATTTTCTTTAGCATGCATTAGTCAATTGAAACCCTACCCCAGGGAAAAGGCGGGCAATTAACGAGGGAATGGCTGTTGATTAACACGGTCTTAATGCATCATTGCCCCTGGAGTACAGGGTAAATAACAAGTCAATTCATTAGCCGAGAAAATAGCCGGGACTTTAACATGCGGCTGGTATGAAAGTGAACTGGAACGAGTTTATCCTCGTGGCAACATGGCGGAATCTTCGAAATCAGAGAATTGTTTCCTCATAGTTTTTCTTAAAAAAAAAGAATATATTTCCACTTTTTATATATTCCTGATGATAACTGCAAGATAGTTAGCCTGCGTAGGAAAAGGGCGAAGGAAAAATAAAGCGCCTGCAACTGTCCTTAATAAAAATGAATTCTCCGTTCAGATGGAAAATACTGATTAGTCAAAATCTGGCTCAAGGTGTTCTCGCTTCCTGTCCGTGCATTTTGAATAATACAAATGCCAAATGGCGACGACAAAAGAATGTTTATTGAACGAAGCGCTGTATCGAATTCTTTAAAAAAACTGTTAAAAGGCTACCTTGAAAGATATGAACAAAGAGGTCCCAGAGATATTCTCAACGACTTTGCCATTCTCAACACAACCTTAAAGTAAGCATTATCACGTCTGTCAAGCGACGTGAAAGCTCATCCGACCCAAGAGGTGTTACCTAATGTCGAAATTACAGTAAACATTGCATCGCTTTAGCCGAGCTTAGCCATTTTTGAGGTTATTTGAGAAAGCTTGAAACATTTATTACAGTAATCATATTGCTTAGCAGTTAGCGCTCATCCTTGAGCTAAAATTCATTGAGCCGGCCCATAGATCTTAAACTCTCACACGTTGTGCGCGATGTCTGTTTGTTTTCATTACATAAATTACGCCGCCACTTCACTTCATACTTGCGGCTCGTGTCTGATTGGTTGGTTGTTTTCGCCGTGGAATATGGCCGGAAATTTCAAGTAAGTGGGCGGAATTAATTATTATTAAGGACGGTTGCAGGCGTTTTATTTTTCCTTCGCCCACCATTTATTCAAAAATCCTCAAAACCTACAAACCGACTGCTACACAGGCTACAAGATAGTCGAAACGTAGATTATTCAGTATCTTTTGATGCGGATCAAAAAGTTTAAGATCTAGAATTGCCTTCACATGTTTTGAACATTTTATTATTCAACGATTTCCCATTTTCCAAGTCATGACAATTTGCAAAGTACCGGGGCCATATTGGCGGTAACTTTAACAGTCAATATTCCCCCGGTTGCAGGGAAATTACCAAAATTTAACATTGTTAAAATGTTAATTTCCCCGCCCTATCCCGGGGTTCGGGGGCGCGGGGTTTCAATTAACTAGTGCGTAATCATTGTGAAAATGTGAAATGCTTAATTTAAATATGAGTTGCGTCTTGGATTGTTGGAGTACATATTAAAATCTAATTTAAATTTTCTTTTGCGATCAAAAGTTTAAACTGTGTTAATACAACAGGTGTGACTACCAGAGTAAAAGCACCGGAGCGTGAAAAAAGGTTTTTCATAGCTTTTTCGACAGTTAACTACATTTTGTCGTTTCTTTTCTAAAAATATCACTGTTCTCAATAAGATTTTGAGTTCACAAATCGTCAACATAATGCACTTTGCAAAAAGTTTTCATTATTAAGAAGAATAATTAAAATTAAATACTAATGTAAATATCTAAAATTAAATAAATCTAAAATTTTAATTAGCATTATAAATTGAAAGTTTAGGAAAAGCTTGGAAGTGTGACAAACATATAGTCCAAAGAGTATTTTCTCGTAAAACTATAATATTTGAATTTATTTTCTTTCACAAATAATCCCCTACAAAGTCTATTAAAACTAACAAACTTATGACAACATAATGAACACCAGTTGCATGATCGAATCGCTTCAAACATCGTTCGCGTCTTTAATTGGCTGGAGTCACCAGAGCAGACATTCTTCCTCTTGTTATTCATTAACTAAGTATAGATATAATATCTTAAGGAAAACATGATCTTATGTAGTTCACAGATATACATTAACGATCAACAACTGAATCTCAATTTTACTGAAACATAAACATCAAGAAGGAAGTAAAGACATTTGAAATCGTAAGTTATTCTCTGTTTTAACTGCTTACAAAAATTAGAGACGAATTAAATAATTTAGGAGCTTGTATATAAAGAGCAAGAGTTGTTATGCCATGCATAATTTCTTTTAAGAAAAGTACAATATACATACATACTTGGTTCACAAGATAAAATTATTCCTTTCCAGAACTTCCACTGTAATTAATAATAGTTTTTCATTAATTAATGTTGGGTAACATTATCTAAGTTGCTTTCTTTCTCGCGAATATTCTGATACGCTTTGGGAAACCAGGGATTTTTTTGTGATTCCTATAGTTCCTTGAAGTTCTGTCTTAAAATTGACATGAAGTTCTTATCAGATGATGATGAATTATCTGTTTCATATAGATATAAACTTAAGGAGAAAGGAATAGGAGTTGTGTAGTGGAATATATTACCAGTCCGTCCAAATCATGAAAAAAATTATTTCATGTGTTCAAAAAATTATTGATAAATCTTTATACGGCTTATGTTCTAATGCATTAACGGGATTTATCTATAATATACAGTAATGCACTAACGCCTTGCCTGTTTGAGCCTATAATGCACTAGTCAATTGAAACCCCGGCCACCCACCCCCGGGAAAGGGCGGTTAATGGGGGAATGGCTGTCAATTAACATTTAAAAAAAACTATTTGAGTTTAGGCCGTATTTTCGCAAAGCCAATAAAGATCCTGTTAAAACAAATACCATGTGGTGACTGCGAAAAGTATTTGGGTCAGTCTAAACACCAGTTTGGTACACGGCTAAAAGAACATCAAAGACTGTTTCAACTTTAATCAAGGGAAAATCAGCTTTAGTAATTCTAAAACTCTAAAGTAATTACCACAAACAAATCTATGGTCAAAGACTATGCCTAGAAGCGTGGCATATAAATATGAGTAATTATGCTTTGAATAGGGATGACGGTGCCTATTTGCCAGAGGAATACATGCATTTCATTGGCAGGTGGTGTCATCCCTTGGGTATTTAAGAAGCCAAGATTGCAACTTTAGATCATCCCTAAGAAAGACACTAGACTGGAGTGTGGAAACGTTGGGTCTTGATTACAATTAGACTGGGCTTTTTAATCATTTATTTAAACCAGTAGCAAGCGAAACATGATTGATATACCTGGTTGCAGTGAACGAAGAAACTTCAAATAACTGATCTAGCAACTGCAAGTCTGCCAGCATGAATTGAACCTGCAGCCCTGCAATTCTACTGCATCCCTCTGACTTAAAGTGTCCTTTTGCCAATAGGTCACCACAAGTTGCTGTACATATACAGGGTGTATGATCCGAATCACAGGCAGCGAGTTCATTCCCGGCACAATAGCTGTCACATAGTTATTACATAGGGCGATGGAAAATTAAGATTTTTTAGCTCAAAAACAACAGAAAACTTGAAATATCTTTAATATTTCTGTGCAAAAACCAGGGGGTTAGGGACATCGTCGGATGCTTAGGGTTGGTTAGTGGCAGTTACCATGACGAAACAACGAAAAATTCGTTGACTCGAGGGGGATTTGAACTCGCATCTTCGGGTATCTAGACCGTCGCTCTACCCATTGGGCTATCGCGTCAATGGGGATTGGTAGACAGTCTTATCCAATTTAAGTGTACGAAATATTTTCAAATATTGTCTAGATACCCGAAGATGCGAGTTCAAATTCCGCTATTATTATTATAAAGCTTTATTTGCATGACCTAATTACAGGTATTGCTAAGCGTAGATTATATATATATATAAAATGTCAGTAATGTCTAAGCTATAACTATAAAAATATATAGGAAGAAGCTATTTCCAAATAGAAAAGCAGCTAGTATATAATTTAAAGATATAATGTTGGGGTTTTTTTTGTTTATTTTGTTTTTTTATTTATCTAAGCAATTTTTAGTCTAATTGTTGTCCCTAATCTTCCATGGATTTGAGGCTTTTATCTCTCTCCGAAAAACAGTGAAAGATATACTTAGAGAGCAGGTTAACAAGAACTGGATCGTCTGAAGACATCGCATGCTCAAACAGTTTTTGTTTTTCTTCCATTGTGTTATTAAGATAAAATAAATTTTTGAGAATGTTGTTAGAATTATTTCTTAATTCTTCGTATTTCGGGCAAGATAAGGCTAAGTGATATTCGTTTTCCACTTCACCGTTGTTGCAAAGTTTGCAGAAACGTTGTTCGCGAGAAACGTTTTCGTATCTTCCTCGCTCAATTTGCAATTTATGATTACTTACTCTATATCGAGAAAATGTTCTTCTTATCGTTGGGTTATCAATAAGGGATAAATATTCTTCCATTTTGTACTGGTTTTTAAATGTACAAAAGAAAGATAGTTTGGAGGAGTTAATCATTTTATGTTGCCAAAATTCAAAATATTGATCTTTCATCTTATTTACAATAGTTTTTGTATCGTAGTTGATTATATCACTTTCCAAGTTTGTTGTATTATCATAGAGTGATTTAAGCATGTTTATTGCGTTGGTGTAGAAAGATTCTTTGCCTTTTTCAAATAGTTGTTTAGACATTAGGAAGGATTGTTTAACTATTGAGTTGTCGTCTAGTTTAAAAATATGTTTAAAATAGTTTAGTATATTCTTTTTTATTGTAATCAGCAGTGGGTATTTCCCAAGTTCACTTCTGCAAGCCACGTTACTGGCTCTTCTGTTAACACCTAGGTATAGCTTGCAGAATCTTAAATGATTTTTTTCAGTTTCTGAATTATCCCATTTATTCAGATCATTTTTTTCGTATGCTCCCCAGACTTCTGAGTTATATAGTAGAATTGGGGAAATTATTGAGTCGAAAATTTTTGTTGCTGTTTTTGGTGAAAGTTTATGAAAATCTAGATTTTTACGAATTTTATAAAGAGCATGCAAGGCTTTTTCGCTTAGTTGTTGTTGTGCGAGTTTAAATTTCCCATTTGGTACTAGTTTAAGACCAAAGATAGGTATACTCTTTGACTATATCTATCTTTTTATCTCCAATGTGGAAATTAAGGTTTGGTAATTTCGAGTTGTGTTTTTGAAAAATCATAATTTTTGTTTTCTTGATATTGACTTCCATTAGCCATTTACTACACCATTCATTTATTTGGTTTAGACTGTTTTGTAAACCTGATTTTGACCGTGAAAGTATAATGAGATCATCCGCATAGAGTAGGCTATTGATAGTAGTTCCATTTGGTAATAGAAATGGATCTGATTGTGTTTGTTGAAACATTTTTGGAAGATCGTTTATGTAGATATTAAATAATAAAGGGCTTAGAATACATCCTTGATGGACTCCCTTTTTGTAAGGAAAAAACGGTGTTCTGTTTTCAGATAGTTTTATTGCACATTTCGTGTTTGAGTAGAGGTCTTGAATTAAATCGTAGAAGTGTCCCCCTATGTTGTTTTTGATAAGTTGGTAAAATAAGCCTTGTTGCCAAACAGAATCAAAAGCTTTTCTAAAGTCAACAAAACATGCATAGATTTTTTCTTTTTCACTCTGTTTGACATATTTATCATGCAGAGTTTTCAGCGTAAGAATATGGTCAGCCGTTCTATTTCCAGGCATGAATCCAATTTGAGTTGGGTGAATTAATTGCTTTTCGTTTGCCAAATTCATCAATCTATTATTCAAAATTGAGCAAAATAATTTGCCCATGCAGCTTGAGACACAAATACCTCGGTAGTTGTTTGGATCGAGAGAGTTTTCTGATTTATGGATCGGGGTTATTAAGCCTTCGGTCCATGATTCAGGAAACTTCCCCGATGTTAAGATGTTGTTAAAAATTTTTAGAAAAGCTTTAGAGAGAATTCCAATACTAGATTTAATCATTTCGTTTCTGATTTTGTCGTTATAGACAGCCTTTTTAGATTTTAACTTTTTAGCTGCTTTTAGTAGTTCATCTTCTGTGATGATGTAATCAAGTTCGGTTAAGTTGTCTTTGATTTTTTCATAGTTTTTCAGGCATTCAACGATTTCGTTTTGTTCCTTGTTTAATTGATGTTCTGAATGAAGTGTTTCAAAATGATTCAGCCATTCACTTGGTTGTGGGCTTTTCTTAGTTTCATTAAAATCAAGATCGTCACTGATATTTTTTAATGTTTTCCAAAATAGCAGTAGATCGTTGCTAGCATTTTGAATTTCTTGGATTTTATCGAAATGGAAATTTTTCTTTTTCATTTCTAAAGTGCTTTTATAGTCTTTCAAAGCAGTATGGTATGCACTTCTAATTTCAGTGTTGTTTGGATCTCTATGTTTCTGATTTGCAAGTTTTCTAAGCTGGTGTCTTTTAAATCTACAATCTTTATCAAACCATTTTTTGTTTGCAACATTATTAATTTTTCGTCTATATTTCTTCTTTTTGATTTTAAGAGATTTTTTGGATGCAAGGTTAATAATGTTTTCAAATTCATTGACACATTTGTTTATGCCCTCTCTGTCAGAAGAGAAATCATTTTCAAGGAATGTGCTTAGTTTCTCTTGTAGTTCATCTGATTTTAACGCTTTTTTAAAATTCTCATTTGATTCATTGTTCCAAATATATTGTAGTGGTAATTTTGATATTGGGGGTTGTAAGGGAGTATTATTAATAGTGTTAGTGGTTTGGTGTAAGTTAATCCAGGTTATAACTTGACTATGGTCAGATAGATAGTTAGGGGATTTAACAACTAGATGTTTAACTTTCGGCATTAAGTTTTGGTTACAAATGATATAATCAACTGAGCTGGTTCCATTTTTACTATGAAAACTTGGTCTTCCCAAGGAGTCACCATTGGTCCGACCATTAAGAATTCTCATGTCAGTACTTTTGCAAATTTCAATAATTTTTTTACCATGATTATTGGTTGTTGAGTCAAGGTTTTGTCTTTGTGGTGGTTGAAAAGAGTTACCACTAGTGTCTTGAATGTGATTACTTCCATCACTTGAAATATAATCTTCGAGTTTGCTTGTTCTAGCATTTAGATCACCAAGAAGAAGTATATTTGCTTTGGATGAGAAAAGGACTAGATAATTTTCAAGTTCTTCAAAAATTTCGTTTTCAAAGTACTTTGATTTTTCAGGTGGGATGTATGTACCACACATGTATAGATCCCGATCAGAGTTTAAGATTTCTTTGGAGATTTTGCTCCACAAAAAATTTTTTGTATTCTTAATAATGCTTACATATTTCTTAAATTTGCTTTTGAATAACAGGCTAATGCCGCCTGATTTTCGGCATGCCCGGTTAGTAACTGGTTTGGCTGTTTCAGAAATAATAGCCTCAAATCCTGGAATGTTTAAACATGTGTTTGTCCATGTTTCAGTTATAAATATGAAATCGATCTTAGAAATAGAATCAATAAAGTCCTTGTTTTTGGTTTTATCTCCAAGGACGCTATTGAATATACCATTAATATTCCAAGTGCTAAATGAAATTCCTGTGCTCATTTTAGATATATCTAATATTTTGATAGAGAATGCTGGAAGTAATTCTTTTGGGGGGAAAAAACCCCAATCTTTTGTTTAATAGCAAAATTATGCATGATAGAATTTGAAAGGAGAATGGTTCTAGAATTATATTAATTAAATAAAATAGTGATAGTATGGGTTAAAGATTTACAGTTTATTATATGCTAAGGCATCCATAGAGTTGTCTTATCAGGCCAACCAGTTGAGGTGGTAGAGTGTTTATTCGGTTATCTTGGCGAAATGAGGGAGGGGGTGGTCCGGTTTCTTTGTTGATATGTTGAGTGTTGATACGATGTTGGTAAGATGGGGGTGAACTTGGTGTTGATATGATGGGGGTGAACAGTGGGTATATGTTGTTGCGGCCAAATTGGAAAGGTTGTGTTCTCATGTGTTGTGGGAAGTTTTGGTTGTGGATATCTCTTGGGGGATATTTTTTGTTCATTTCTTTCTTTTTAGGTGTGGTGTTAAAGTAAGCCGCTTTAATGTTTTTCGCAAATTTTTTAACACCCCTTTCGTTCAAGTGCTTCTTGTCGTGTAGGTCAGGACTAGATATATTGGTATGCTGGATATAAGTGGTTTTTGTTTTGGAGGAAAGTCTGGTTTTAAGTTCTTCATTAATCGTTGGTACTTTGTTGTTAAGTTCATCCTTTCTTGATAATAATGAGGATACTAGAATTCTGCAGTTTGGATGTTTTTGTTTGACTAAATCCACAATTTCTAGGGTTTCGGTTATAGTGTTTTTTCCGGGTTGTTCGATATCATTAGTTCCGCAGTGGATAATAAGGTTTTTGGGGTTACTGAAGTTGAAGGATTCAATTTTTTGCCTTGCTTGGGAGAGAGTTGGGGATCGGATGTATTTTGTTGTTGAGTCAGGACAAAGTTCTTTAGGTTTCAGGTATCGACCATTGCTGTCACATATGATGATGGTTTCTGCGTCGATTGACTTTTGGTGATCAGTTTTAGTTTCGGGTTGTGCACTTGTGTTTGGTTGGACAGTGGGAGGAGGTCTTGCTGAATATTGTCATTCTGTTCGACTCCATCTTCTACGTTCTCTTCCTTGTTTCCTTTGGACTCCAACTCTACATGTTCATTTGTGTTATCACCTTTATTTGCTGCATCATCAGTTAGAAG